TCCTTTTTTCAACGCCTCCCAGAGGTACACAATTCCTTCATTCAACGCCTCCCAGAGGTACACAATTCCTTCAATGCCACGTCCTTTTTCTTCGTCTTGACTTTGGTCCTTACTTCCGTCTTTCCACTGATTCCGATCTTCTGCTATCTCTTAGACTCTGAACTAGACCTCTGCTGTTGTCAGGTCTTTCATTTATTTATTTATTTATTTATTTTATATAATATATATTATTTATTTTTTGGGGATAATAATGTCTGTAGAGGCTGTTGGGGGTTTTTTTGTCTTTCCCCCTCTTGTTTAGTTATCATAACACAGGGTCTGCTTTCCCCCCCGTCACGAGGTGAAAATGTGGGGGAACATCTGTGTATCTTTTGCATTACTGGGACTCCTGATGTCCCAGCTCCTCTTTTCGAGTCATCTTATCTCGCCATGTTTCTCGGAGTGAACGCGCTGTCCATTTCAATTTGCGCACATGTACAGTTTACGAATAAGAATCAGGCCACAAAGACACGGGTGGACCAAGAAAAACTTGGCTGGATGGCGTCAGAGGTCCTCCAACAGAATAACATAGCACTACCACCTTAGAACACAATTAGAAAACGATTTCGAAACGTTTTCAAAAATATTTAAAAACATTAAATCAGCCGTGTTACTACAAATACAAAGCATCAGATTTTAACTCTTGCGCATCTCCTTTTCACTTTCCCATCCCCTCCCCCGTCCTAAACGTGTGCGCACTCTGTTTCCTTCAATACCGTAACTTTTAGCGGAAATAGTTCAGATTTTAAGTAGCCTAGGCGCTGCTGTCAATCGAATGGGTCACCGGCCACTACAATTCTTCTAACTAGATCTATGCCCGAGAGATAATAAATTGCTATAAAGGATTACAAAGTACGCATAAGATACACAGTTCTTGACAATAAAATCGTGCGCACGGTTCGTATGTAGTTTATGGTTTAGTTGTTTTACAATAGCGTTCTTTCTTTGTTTGATAGTGTTGGTTGGGGGGGGGGGGGGGCATCCCATCCAGTTTGGAGTATATCTGTTCTTTGCAACTCCGATAATACACGTATGGCATCTGTTCCCTTTTCTCTGAAATAAGTCAGATCTCAACATCTTACGACAAAGAGCAACACGAACAATAAAGAGTTATAGTTGTGTTTTTATCTGACTTCACTTGCAAGAACATGAAACTCATTGGTAACTATAACTCAGCTTATAATGCCAGGTCTTTCTTCAGCAAAGTGATGTTGTGCTCAATAGGACCAAAGAGCTACATGGAGGATCAACATGCAACATGGATACGCATCCATTATATTGTACATATTATAATTATTATTGTTCACGTGGCTTTTGTGTGAGGTGAGGTAAGGAGATTCCCAAGAGCTGCGGCCGCGTTGGTAGCCTAGTGGTTAGGTTACTGGACCCGTAATCGTGAGATTGTGGGTTCGGGGTTCGAGCCTGAGCTCATCCCGACGCTGTGTCGAGCACAGTAACTTGGGAAAACCTGGGTTTTTTCCCCTTCTCATTTGGGAGATGTTTCGTGGTTTGCTCTGGGAGGGGTGGGGAAAGGGCTCCCTCGAGCACTAGTGAGGTTTCATAACGTGCTTGTTGTTTTGCAAGTTCCTTTAGGAAGTGCACTTTACACAAAATTCCTATTTGGCTCGATCCTTTCGTAGACGAACCTTAAACTATAAACTCGGAGGTCCTACCTCTTAAATAACCTAATACATGTAGTGTAGATGGGGGCGTAAAACCTATCCATTTCACCAAGAGCTGTAGCTGTCCACGGAGAAGGTTGTCTCTTCGCACAGTGGGTTGAGACTGCGTCATTATAATTATCCTTCATTACTTCATGAGCTGTGCACTTTTAGTGTATGTAAACCTACAATTATTACATAACTTTATATACACTCATGTCACATACATTAGTATAGTACAGGGCCTATAATACATAAATGTTGTATGATATGCCTCTGGCTGTATGGCCGCGGACTCATACACTAATAATAACAGTAAT